GTTCTTCATCAGATGATCGTCACGTTCTTCATCAGATGATCGTCACGTTCTTCATCAGATGATCGTCACGTTCTTCATCAGATCCTCGTGTTCTTCATCAGATGATCTTCACGTTCTTCATCAGATGATCTTCACGTTCTTCATCAGATGATCCTCCTGTTCTTCATCAGATGATCCTCGTGTTCTTCATCAGATGATCCTCGTGTTCTTCATCGGATTATCCTCGTGTTCTTCATCGGATGATCGTCATGTTCTTCATCAGGTGTTCTTGTTTGTTTGTTGTTAGCAAAACAACAAGCTAAAGAAGCAAAAGAAAACAATAAAGGTCCAGCCAAAAGCTAAAACAGGCAAAACACTTGGTTGAAGCTAAAAGCTAAAAATAGCAAAATGCTAGTTGAAAGTAGCAAAAAGCAAGCTAAAGCTAAATGTACCAAAGGTCTAGCTTAAAATTAAAGATCATGTTAGTCAATGTGCCAAAAGGATTAATGAAAAAGTAGCATAACAGTAGCTAAATGTAGCCAAAGGCTAAAGGAGCAACAGGATATCTAAAAGTATAGGAGAGCGAACAGGAGCCGAAGCTGTTTCTGAAGGAGGTGAAGATCTCGATGTGTTTATTTGTAAACAAAGTCCAGTGTTTTGTTCGGTGTTCTCAGAACCACAGGTCCGTTCAGACGTTCGAGTCACGACAGAACACGGTTTTCTTGTCAAACGCTCGTTTTATTTCATCCAGAGCAGCCGAGACCAGGAAGCTGGGTCCTCTGCTCTGATTGGCTCACGTCTGGTCAGCTGACTGCTCCATCTTCAGCTTCCTCACCAAGTTCTCGTTGAGGTTCTTCAGGTGTTTGTTCCGGTTCTCCAGGCGGACAAGCCACTCCTGCCTCAGCCTGCGAACACACACAGAGCGGGTCGGCCCGGTTTGGAACTTGGGTCAGAATCTGTTGTTTACCAGGTGAAATACAAACAAACAAGCAAACAAAGCGTTTCCTGAATGCACGTCGCCCGCCGCCGTTCAGCTCAGACGGATTGTTTTGGTCAAACGTCAGAAATAACGTCGAGTGCTGGGGAGGACTCTCAGCTACTACCACACCTCACGTTATCTCTGGAAACTGACCGTCGTCAGAGGCTGAGACGCTGTGCTGCGTCGGGTGGTTCTGGTTCTGACCCGGCTCAAGTCGGGGATTAGCAGCAGCTAAAAGAACAAATGGAATAATCCAGAAAACGCCACAGGAAGGCGAGGAGGCGGCGGCGAGGACAGCTGGAGGCGAGCGTTGGGTTTCACACACTCCTGGTGGACACACGGCGGGTTCTGTATCTCTGTGAGGACCCCCAGGCTGACCTGGACCTTCAGACTGACCTGGACCCTCAGACTGACCTGGACCTTCAGACTGACCTGGATCCCCCAGACTGACCTGGACCTTCAGACTGACCTGGACCCTCAGACTGACCTGGACCCTCAGCCTGACCTGGACCCCCCCAGTCTGACCTGGACCCTCAGCCTGACCTGGACCCCCAGACTGACCTGGACCCTCAGCCTAACCTGGACCCCCAGCCTGACCTGGACCCCCAGCCTGACCTGGACCCCCCAGCCTGACCTGGACCCCTGGTGACCAACACAGCCCTCGTTTGTGATCCAGATCCTCATGTCTGAACAGGTTTGTCTCTTCATGTTTTCTGTTCTAGACCTTCAAAATAAAAGCAGCATTAAAAGCCTGGAGTGAATTAAAACGACCTGAACCTGAATCGTCGCGTCTCTTCTGCTCGTCCTGAAAGTTTTTAAATCTCTCTGTGCGGAGCAACAAATAAAAACTTTCACGAAGCTTCTGATGAAGCGACAACAGAGGAGGAGCAGATGAAGCGCAGGAAAGACTCCGAGGGGCGATGAGCGAGTGGATGCAGCTGGAACAGAAGCAGAGCACCGAGCTGACACGGAGGAGTTCTGAAGATCCATTAAATCGACCCGGACCACGACCGAACCCAGACCCCAGGACTCTCGGTGATTCTGTCAGACGCCACTAAAACCAGCTCCGAGGACCACAACCCACCAGATCTAAAGGACCTCACAGGGTCCAGTTAGACCCTGTTGGTTCTTCTCAGCCTCCCTGACTGACCCGAGGAGCCAGAAGCTCAAGGTCCAAATCAGAAGTTCTAAAAGTGGCCCGGCTGGACCCGAGCTCTCTGCTGCCTGCCATCACTCATCGCTCTCAGATTATCACCTCCACTCCCTGCTGCACATTTTTCCAGCCTCTGGCCGGTCACACATATCACACACAATTAGCGGTTCCTAGAGTCGGGTTTAGAACCGGGTCGGGGGGGCAGAAGGTAACAGATACGTGGGGGATTAGGAGAGACACGGTATGATTGGTGAGGGATTAGGGTACAGGGTGAAGGAGAGCAGGGGGATTAGGTGTGACCGTCTGCAGAGGTGGGCTGAGGTTAAGGAGGGTCAGGACGGGATCAGGCTAATAGCTGGAGTAACACCATGAGGTGAGGCTTGATGAGACGAGCTGAAATAAAGGAATCGTCATTAAAGAGTGACGACGGACAATCTGTCACTTTACATGTTCCCCCAACACAGCGGGTGTGTGTGTGTGTGTGTGTCACTTTTAATGCACCTGAGAAGAATCAGCTGATCCGCCACTCACATCAGATTATTATTAAATTATGTTTATAAGGATCGGTTTAATCCTGGACAGTAATTCTGCCATTGAATGTGATTTAATTGAAACATTTTTAATAGATTCTCGTGTTTCTTCGCTCCTGGACCTCTGATGGAAATTAAACTGAACTGGATCAACAAGATTTCTGCTCTTATCAGATTATTGTGGCCAAATAAACAAGTCAACAAATAAACAGAGAAACTTTGAGGGATGATTTGTGTTTTACAAAGTTGAGTTTCAATATTGAAAAGTTTTTTATGTGTTTTTATTAAACCTGACCAACGACTGCCACCAAATATTAGACACGTGTCAGTTTTCATGCTTTAAACATGTTAAAGTTAACACGAGCGTTAAATAACCTGTAATCCATCCTCGGGGAGATTAATGAAAACTTTATGATAAACAGAAGCTTGTTTATATTCATGTTTTGTCCGTGCAGAAAGTTCTGGGGCTTTCAACCTTTGCACCAAATGTCCTGCTGCTCACAGAGATTACATCTCATCTGTTTGTTTGATTTAATCCCAGGGATTAACCTCTGGGGCTCATGAAGTACAACATGTTGTACAAAGATTTCAGAGTCGTGGTGAGAAGTGTGAGACTGAAGGGTCCAGACCTTGACCCGTGTCTTTAGTTTATTCTGCGGTTCTGCCGGGTCGAGGCGAGTTCTGGTTTCAGTCCGGCTGATGTTTCTGCTCATTAGTGGTCGTTGTTTTAGGACCCGGTGCGTCCGCGGGTCGCTGAGAGACGAGGCCGTTTGTAATGAGACGGTCTGTTTTTAGACGTGTCTATTTGCTGACACGTCCACCGTGACCGAAGACACGTTGGTTCTGTGGGCTGTAACGGACCTCTCCTCCAGAACCAGAACCCCGAGGATCAGAAGGTTCAGGAGGCAGACAAACGAGATCTGAGAGCTCTGGTTCAACAACCTGAGAAGGTCGTCTGACCTGGTCTTGGATTAGCAGTCAGATATTATTAATAATGTTCAATAATATTAATAATGTCAAAAACATTAATAATGTTCCATAATAATAATGTTAAATAATATTAATAAAGTAAAAATATTAATAATGTTAATATTAATAATGTTCAATAATAATAATGTTAAATAATATTAATAATGTAAAAATATTAATAATGTTCAATAATATTAATAATTAGCAAATGAACAAAGTTTACACTAGAGCCAATAAATAACAGGAGGGTAATCATCATCCATCCAACCTTCCATCCCTTATCATCCAACATTATATCTATCCTTCCATCCTGCATCCATCACTATCATCCATCCATCATCATTGTCATCATCCATTCATCCATCCATCATCCATCATTATACATCCATTCAGCATCCATCCATCCTTATATTAATCCATCCATCCATCCATTATTATATCCATCCATCCATCCATCCATCCATCCATCCATCCATCCATCCATCCAGCTGTAGAAGAACCATGTCCAGAAGAGAAACCCAGACCTCCGTCTCCCTAGAGATGCTCTCCAGCTCCTCCTGGGGGACCTTGACGTGTTCTCAGACTGGAGAAGATTTATAATCCTTCAGAGAGTTCTGGGTCTGCCCCTGCTCTTCCCAGAGGGACGTGCCCAAAACACGTCTAAAGGGAGGCGTCCTGCGAACCTCCTCAGCTGACTCCTTTCAATAAGAGGAGCAGCAGCTCTACTCCAAGCTCTCCCAGATGATGGAGCTCCTCACCCTGTTTGTAAGGCTGAGCCCGGTCACCCTAAGCTCATTTCAGCTGCTTGGATCCAAAATTTGGTTCCTGTGGTCCTGATCCAAACCTCATGACCACAGGTGAGGCTCAGAACGTAGACGGACCAGTAGCTCCATTTTAAAGCACTTGTTCTTTTAAAAAGAACAACAAAAATCATTAAATATAGCAACATCACTAAACTTGTCTTTAAATCTATGTGTTTGTTCCCCTTTCACCATCGTTGGAGAATTGAGTGTCATCAGCAAACCAAGACACTAAGGTTCAGTGAATGCATCATGATATGAATTCAAACTGGGTAGAGATAGAGATGGTGGGATCTGGACACGTCTAAACTGGTTGAGTGGCTCAACAGAACCTTGGAGATCCAAACAGACCAGTGAAGGACTCAGGAGGCTACGGACTCCCTGCAGGGCGGAGTTCTGGCTGTCGGCCACTTCAGACGGAAACATCTGCCCTCGGGCCCAGAAACATATTTCTTATTAAAAGCCTTGTGCTGTGGATCTATCTGTTGGAGGTACTGACTTGGTGAGCGCGCTCCTGTTCACCCTCTTCTCCTCGCTCTCAGCGTGTCGGTTATCGGCGTCGATCCTTCCCTCCCAAAACGTTTTGACGTGCGGCCGATCGTGGATCAGAGCCAAGTTCATCTGCAACAACACAGGAAACAGATCCACAGTTGGTTTGAAGCTGCTCCACTGTCTCTGTCATGTGAACTTCAGCCTCTGGAGGGCAGAGCGATGATCTGCCACTGGTTTTAATCCATAAATCCAGGTCTTAATTTGAGCCGGATCCTGCTGGAACAGGATCCGGGAACTCTCTTATTTTGACAGGGTGCATTCCAGCAACTGTTTGCTTGGATCCGGGAACTGTCAGGTTTACTAATAATAAAGTTCTGCACAAATATGACTGAACGAATAAAACTTATATTGGATATTTAAACTGAAAATAATTACATAAACACTCATTTTAAACACAACAGCCACTTACGACTTCTTCATATCATCACGATAATCTGCCCCTTTGGTGGGGGGTGAGTGCCTGGAGGTTTCACATGTGGAGTCGAAGAGTGAATTCAGCGGAGAAGAGTCGGCTCGGAACGGTCGTGTGTGTGTGTGTGTGTGTGTGTGTGTGTGGGGGGGGGGGGGGTAGGATGTAAGCGTTTACAAATGTAGGTAAATATAGATGTTTAACAACCCGTAAAAATACATCAAAATGCAGGAAATTGCATCTAATTTATTCAATATTTTCTGGGGGAGGACCCTCAGACCCCCCCCCCCCCCCACCCCCCCCCCCCCCCCAGATGGCCCATCTCCTATTTGCGTTCCAGCATTGATCAGTTTACAAATTAAGCCCTGCATAAATTCTTCAGATTATTTCTGGTACAGTCATGCAAACCAACAAACAAAAGCAGGAAATCCACCGATTCAAAAACTGAACCAGCGCTAACGACAGAAACTGGGACCGTAATCCACCGAGGTAAATAAAGATGAACAGCAAACAGGTGTGCTGATTACTAACTCAGGCCAGGTGAGCCGAGATTACAACTATAAAGACTAAAGAAATTAAATCTTGATTAAAATGTTCTACAGACGAAGATGAAATGAGAATTTAAAAAGTTTTATTTTTAAATGTTTTGGATCACAACACTTGTGGTTTGTTCTACCGTATCCTTCGGCTAATAAAGTTTACGAGCTGACGCTGCCTCAAAGACTCTCTGGACTGCAGAAATCGCCCAAAATAAATCTAAATTTAAAGAGCGACTCATGAAACGTAAAACTTGTGAGCCGGACTTTAAATCCAGAAACACTGAAAACACGAGTTTAATCTGTGCAGCTGTTTCCTGTTAAAGTTCATTTAGAAACTTTTGTTCAAACTGTTCGCTGTAATGAAACAGATCCGTTTCATTTAAGAACGCTCTAATTTAAAATGCTCAACAGCTGCTTTGTTCCTTTAATCTCGCAGCTGAGTGTCAGAATAAAGGTCGTGACGCCTCTTTGTAAAAGTTTAATCCACGCTGGATGTTTAAAATGTTTCTCGCAGGAAAATCAAACATTTGTTATTGATGAAAGACGGAAATACTCAGAAAATCTGAACTAAAAAGAGAAAATTCTGATTTATAAACTCAACGAGTAAAAACTTTAAAATGAGGTCAGTTTAAGAAATAATCTATTTAACTTGCAGGACTTTTAGGACTGAAACATAAATATATGATTTAAAACTGATAAAGTTTGTTGAAGTTAAAAACTAAACCAACCTTCAGCTCAGACGTCCGTCAGGTTCTCAGGGTGAAGGAAAGTGTTTCATAAAGCCAGCCCCTCCTGCACACACTTCACCCCCCCAGCATGGACGTCTCACAGCCACACTGTAAATCTGCTGAACTGGACCTCAGAGACAGAACAGGGTTCTGATGGAGGGAAGGCCCGAACATTTAAATCTATTTATTGTTTTTAGAGCTGAGGCGGGACTCTGCGCTCTGATTGGTCGGTGGCTCAGGCACAAGCTGTCAATCATAAAATGGGTTTGCCACCATGAACATCTACAGCTGGAGACAACCAAGATGGCCGCTGCAGCTAATCCAGATTAGCAAAAACTATAACTATTTACTCGTGTTTTTGTTTACAAACAAACAGAGTTTTTGTGAGAAATGTTGAAATTTCATGAAGACTCTCCAAAGTGGAGATTTTTAATGAATTAATGTTTTTTCTGAAACGATGGTTCAGTTTCCTGTTTGGGTCCAGAAACTAAAACAACGATGGAGACGCTTTAACTGTTTTTTCCGCTTCGTGAAACGTTTGATAACTGAGAGAAAAGTGTAAAAAGTGTTTATAAGAACTGAGCGACAACACACGAGTCGAATCGTGATCACGTGTGTGCACCAGCGAGAGGTCAGAGGTCAACGTTCAGCCTGTTGAAAAGCTGTGAATATTTCAACGTTTGTTTCTCACTTATTCACTGAAGACGTTCAGAGGACACAGAGACGCCGCGGTGCAGACTACTTCCTGAAACAAACTCTGGGTCTTGGAGCACATTTCTGGTTTATTCATATTTTTTGTGTTTCTGAATATTGGAACGTTTTGTCTGGTTCCAGAGCCTCTAAAGAAAAAAACAAAGTTTTGATTTGGTTCTTTGGTTTTGTAATTCAGATTAAAGAATTATCTTCAGCTTTGTGTTGCCCAGAAAATGTGTTTTATGCAGAATTTCACATTAAATACAAAATGACCGCGGCTCTAGGCCTGAGCTCACAACGTCCCAGATAAAGATCAACACGACTCTCCACGTCTTCTCAACAAACAGGGACACTAACCTTTACTGGTTTTGGTTTTATCACCAGGCGGCACGGTGGCTCAGATGGTAGAGCCTCTCATTGAGAAGGTCACAGGGTCAAATCCCGGCCAAGGGGCCTTTCTGGGTGGATGCATGTTCTCTCCGTGCACGCGTGGGTTTTCTCCAGGTTCTCCGGTTTCCTCCCACAGACTAAAAACCTCCATGTTAGGCTGACTGCTAACTAAGTTGTCCCTAGATGTCCCTGTGATGGACTGGAGACATGTCCAGGGTGTCCCCTGCCTCTCACACATGGGCACCGGTGACCTGAAAATAAAGAAGCGGTAAAGAAGATGGTGGTTTTACCTCCCGTGCAACGTAAAGTTTGCTCATGAAGGAGCTTTATCCGAATTAAAACGTGCGTCCTCTGTATTTCAGCGTGACGTTCATTTGGTGGCTGCAGTCAGAAAACAATCCAGAACCAGGAGCGGCACAAACGGGACCTGAAGCTCACACCGACCAACACACACACATAAATCTACAAAAGCAAACACACACGCACGCAGTTGTAAAGTATGTTGTCAGCTTCATGTCATCGTCCTAAAAGCTGGAGCGGTTTGTGTTTCCACACGGAGCATACCTTCTGGGCTACACACACGCACAGTTATTTGGATTGTGCATGACATCATGTGAACGCAGATCGGTTTCAGGCTCAGCTTTCTTGCACCGTGTCTATTTAACGTTCCAACTGACTCCATCGTGTTTCCCTCGCCTCGGAGAACGTTCTCAGAACGTCGCTGTGGTCGGAGCGGGACGTCTCCCGACGTTAACACGAGCCTGACTGCAACAATGAGCCGGTGCAGGCCTGGACACAGCTGTGTGTGTGGACTGATGGGCGGTGAAGGGTCTGCGCTCGGGTTTCCAGCTCGTTTGGGGCTTCTGTTAAAGTTTAGAGCTTCGTCTCCAAACTGGACTCTCCCAGTTTAAATATCATCTGCTACAGTCAGAGCCATTAAAAATAACATGCACTTTTAAAAGACCGGCACTGAGCTGACATAAGTGGAGCCACGACGGCCCGCTGACACGCCCACTGCAAGAAGGTTGCAGGTTCACCACTCGGTCTGGGACCTTTCTGTGCAGAGTTTACATGTTCTCCCCCAGATACTCTGGTTTCCTCCCACAGACCAAAAACATGCATGCTAGGTTCATTAGTAACTAACTTGTCCCTAGGTGGAGTGAATGGTTGTGTCCCTGTGATGGACTGGAGACCTGTCCAGCATGTCCTCGCCTCTCACACAGTCACTGCTGGAGATACAAGCTGACACAAGCTCCATGTGACCAGGAGAAAATGGGTAAATAGGATGGATGGATGGATGGATGGATGGATGAATGAATGAATGAATGAATGAATGAATGAATGAATGAATGAATGAATGGATGAATGAATGAATGGATGGATGATGATAGATGAATGGATGGATGAATGGATGGATTGATGGATGAATGGATGGATGGATTGATGGATGAATGGATAGATGGATGAGGAGGATGGATGGATGCATGGATAAATGATGGATGGATGGATGGATGGATGAATGGATGGTTGGATGGATGATAGATGAATGGATGGTTGGATGGATGATAGATGAATGGATGGATGA